CCCCCCCCCCCCCCCTCCTAAATCAGTGCCCTCCTGTACAACTCTTTCTTGTCTCCATCCAGTTACTCCGCTATGTCATAGCCCTTGGTATTGCTGTTCGTCAGCTCTTGAACGTCAACAGTTGATTTAAGGGCGTGCAAGAGTTGGTCGGAAATACCGTCGCAAAAGTTTCTGCCTACTTAAGACTTTTCAGTAGCATATTGAGCCAGCCGTCACGTCGATGTTCACGTCGCGTCTAGTGTGGTTGCAGGCAAAGCAACAAATAAACAAAACCATTATCCCTCGCTCCGGACGACCATTTACGCACTGCCACTGCGGAGGAATTATGTAATCTATCAAGTTGCGACTCACTTGACGTAGTCCGTCGGTAGGCACAATGCCAATGCTGCCTGGACATATTCATTGGTCAGGCGGATGATCCAGTGTCTCTGGTAACGGTACTGTCTAACCAAATTATCACATCACGTAACAGCACTTGTGGATGAAATCGCCGCAATTAATGACTCAGGGGAGACGAATCGATCAACTGTCGCACCTGCCTAAAACATCTGCTATGAATGCGGTGGCTGCCAATTTCACCACATTTATTGTTGTTTAGCTGCGGCCTTCGTGCGTCAGATATCTTTATTTGTTGCTGTCTTTGATTATGGCGTCGAGATTGAGTCCGAAACGTCAGGCGAATTTTCCTTGTTCCAATGGTCGAATCCCTTTCTCAATTACTTCTTCGTACCCACCTTTTGGCCTATGCGTGTAGTCGTAGTTCCTGTGGTCACCCAGATCATAATCCACGTCCTCATAATCGACAAAATTATCGGTCCTATTGTGGGAGGTGTCTGGAGACCTGCGCCTGCAGGTTATTTGTTCTCTACATCTGCCGGCGTCACTTCTATTGCTGTTCACAAAACCACTGACTGCATCCTCCTCTTCTCTTTAGATCTGTGATGCGTACAAAGCAATTGGCTTCATCGGACAGTTTCTTATCACCGACGATCGTTCCATGCTTTCGCTTGATGTCATGGTAAGTAGGACATGTAATGGCCCCACTCACCTCCTCCCCCTCCTCAATCAGTGCCCTCCTATACAACTCTTTTTCGTCTTCATCCAGTTCCTCCGCTATGTCATAGCCCTTGGCATTGCTGTTCGTCAGTTCTTAAACGTCAACAGTTAATCCAACGTCGTGCAAGGGTTAGCGGAAAATACAATCGCAAGAGTTTCTGCCTACTTACGACTTTTCAGTAGCAGATTAAGCCAGCCGTCACGTCGATTGAGCAAAAACAAGGAGAAAAGTATACGATTTTCTTGTGCTATCCGCAAGGATAGAAACAAACATCCTCTCCTCCGCTATATGATAGTCCCCCGATGCTGTTGTTGTTTAGCTCGCAGGTTTCCGAATTGAAACTAACGTTGTTTCACCTTTCTCCTCTCTCCCACTCCGCGCATCTGCAGAACCTCCAGCGCAACTTCCCTGACGTCCGCACTGAGCAGGTGTACTCCATTTTGATGCTGCGTGGCGACATGAAGACAAATGAAGCCAAGGAGGTGGGTGCCACCCGCATCCCAATCCCTGTCTATTATTTATTCTCCCTCCTTACTAGCTTCTGCCTGATATAACTTTCCTAATATGTAAACGGTGATGTTGGTGGGGGACGGCCGCGCCCTGCGACCCGGGGGCTCGATTTCAGATAAGGAGTGACTATACTTCAGTCCAGGCGAAATCGCGCCCGCCTCCACGCCGTCTTGTCATTTGAGTACACCTTGACATAGATTCCGGTTTTCATTGCAGCAGGAAGAGGAAAACCTTTTCGAAGAAAACTGGGACCACGAAGTAGCCACCACCACCACCACCACCACCACC